GAACAAGCCAATCTGTGTTGGAAGAAGTACAGCCAGAGTGCTCCTTGGAAGCCAGTGTGGCCAAACTTCGTCTCTCATCGTTCAGACATGTATCAGGAGGGACCATTCCCTGAAGAAGGATATCATGTTTGGTATAATGGAGGATTGAAGAAAAAGAGGAAGCCCCTCCTATGATAAGGATTAGCACCATGACAGCAGCAAAGGGGTTCATTGCTACATTTGAGCCCATTACTGCTGCCACTGTGCCAATCCATCTCATTGGGTGCACCTCAAATGAATTCATTCTTTTACGGTCTTCTTTATTCACTATCTTTTACATGTGTATGAGATTACTGAAAATATCATAGCTTGGGTCAGGTGCACCTTAGTCTTCAAGCTGTCATCTTTGCTCTTCGACACTACAAAGAGGTCTTGTGCAGCAGATTTGCCTAATGCATTATCATTTGATTTCTTGACTGCTGCTTCCGTGAGTGTTGATGGTTGATCTGAGTAGAATGAAGTCTTTGATAACTTCAATCTTTTCTTCATTTAGATGGATGTTGGTTATTGGTCCAGTTGTGAGGATTTTTTGTTTTCTTTACATTGAAGTGCAACCCGTACTTATGGATGTTGTGGTCTTTGATCTTTATTAGTAAGTAGTTTAAGTCCTTTTCACTTTCAGCAAGCAAGGTTGTATCATCTGCTTATCTCAGGTTGTTAATGAGTCTTCCTCCAATCCTAATGACATGTTTTTCTTCATATAATCCATCTTCTTGGATTATTTGCTCAGCACATAGATTAAATAAGTATGTGAAAGAATACAACCCTGGTATGCGCATATACACAGTGTTGGAAAAATTGTTGTTAAGTGCTGTGGACTCAAAGCAACCCTGTTTTCAAGGAGCAGCTGATGGGTTTGAACCTCTTACCTTGCAGTTAGCAGTCTAATGCTTAGCCTACAGCACCACACCAGGGATCCTAGAATATGGTAGACAGTGAATACTGGAGTGGATGTTGTTGAACAACAGAGAAGTCTTTATCACAGAACATTTTCAATCAAAGAATAGCCACAGCTGCACATAGGCCTAGAACCACCAGGACAAGACTTGCTGACTTGAACTAACACAGTACGCAGGACCAGTCCGCTGCCAGCTTATCTCGGGAGAGGGCAGCCGAGCAGCAGCTGGAGAACTTGTGACTCAGAGGAAGTGAGAGGGGAGGCCTTTGTGGGAGATAAAAGCACTGCATTTTGATAAATGATAAAGTATAACCGAAAATACCAGAATCTTATTTTGGATAAAATGTGGCTACTCTTAGGAGCACATAAGTTAAACAAAACAAGGAAATCAAATCAGTAAAGAAAATAAGCCTTAAAAAGGACAGACTCCATACTTGGCTCAGTTCATACTCTCTGGTAATCCTATAAAGAATATGTACTGGTACTCGGCTTGCTGCCATGTGTCTCTAAACAATTGTTTGAGTCAAATAATACCTTACGTGCTCTATTTAAAATAGGCACAATTATATCGTTAATATAAAGAGGGCTTTTGTGACTCATTTTGTGCAGTGAATACGCATTCCCCAATTTATTATTGATGTGAAGGTTGGTATTCTTCTAGATGTTTCTCATTCCTACATGCCTTCCCTGGGGGATTTCATAAAAGTCCATACTTTCAATACCGCCTCTTTATGAGCCCACCTGGATAATGCTCAGCCTCCTCCTGCACATCTTGAATTTACTCAGGTTGGCCACCTCTGCTTCCTCCTCTTCTGATGTGCAACCTCCCACCCTTCCCTTCCCCACTTCCCAGCTAGAAACCCAAGGGGCAGTCAAGCTCCTAGTGTAGCCTGAGGTTAGACTCCTAGGTCCTCTATGTGGGAGCAGGCTAGTGCGGCCCCACGGCTGCCACCACAAGTATTTCAAGGCCGGGAACCTGCTGGGAGAAGTGTGACCTTTTGTGACTATGTATTATCAGTGGGTGTAACATGGCTGGGGTTCCTCTAACTTGGGCCAGCTGTCAAGACACCAGATGTCAGGAGTCTGGCGGGGAGGCCACCCCACCATGTTCATCCCACTGATGTCCTTGACTCCTTGTTGGGTGCTCGCAGAGTAAACTAAAATGAAGGCAGCCTTGATTAGAATCTGTGGGATAATATGCCCATCCTCCAACAGCATCTGGTGGTTTCCAGCACACATCTCCCTTTCCCTTCTGAGCAGCTTTCCTGCCAGCTGTAGATTTTACTAACAATAAACTAGCAGACCATGAGTATCTGCCATGACCTTGGCACTGCCCTAAGTCTTATTTATGCCTTATAAGTGCCACTGTGGTAGTGGTGTGTCGGGGACTCGGTCTGACTCATAGTGACCCTGTTTATAGGTGTCTGAGGCTATAACTCTTTACCGGAACAACAAGCCTCATCTTTGTCCCATGGAACCACTGGTGGAGTAAAACTGATGACCTGTGGTTAGCAACCCAATGCATAACCCACTATGCTACCAGGGTTCATTAGCACTGCACTGTTGTTAAGTGCCGTTGAGTTGGTTCCGACTCATAGTTATGCTCATTTAACTGTGGTTCCCGTAGTCTTCGGATCAAGTTTTAAGCTCTCTTCCAAAATAAAACAAGACTTCTGCCAACCTTCACCAGCCTTACCTAACAGCCTTTTTCTAGTGTCACTGCCTCCCCCTGGAGTGCCCCAAACTTTTGCCTGTTGGACACGGCTCCTTATAGGGTCAGTTCAGACACTGCCTTTCTAAAATGCATTCCCACACTTAGCTCTGTGTGCCCTGGCACCTGCACACATGTACTCTTCTGTACTTACGGCTACTCTACATGTCTGTTTACGTGTCTGTTGTATACGAGCAGCAGATTTCTGGTGGGCTGGACTGGACACTGTACTTTCTGCCTCACTGATTCCGGGGTTAGAAGGCAGGAACAGTGGGTAGGTGAATGGACAAGCTTGTAGGCATTTTGTAAACTGAAATGAGTGTAACACCAGTACTGGTTTCAAAATTAAAAATAGCATGTGAACAAATGGTCAACAATTTAAAACAAAGATGAGAATGTAAGGGGGAAGGGAAACAAGATGAATGGAAACAGAGCAACAAGAACAGAAAGAATGAGTGTGCTCATGCATCGTGAAAAATGTAACCAATCTCATTCAACAACTTGTCTAGAAGTTGTTGAATGGAAGCCTAACTTATTATATAAACCTTTGCTAAAAACACAAACTACTACTTAAAAAAAAGATTTAAAATGAGCCCTAAGCCAACTGTTGAGTGTACAGTAGTTCTAGGGTCTCCTTTCACTATAAACTAACCATTCACCTGTCTAAACACCTTTTACATTAATATTGTCACAGCACCCTATTCCTTTGTCCTCCAGTTCTCAAAATTTTTCAAGAAACATCTGGTAGCATAGTGGTTACGAATCGGGCTGCCAACCTCAGGGTCAGCAGTTTGAAACTACCAGCTGTTCCATGGGAGAAAGATGAGGCTTTCTGCTCCTGTAAAGATTTACAGCCTCAGAAACCCTGTACAGGGTCACTATGAGTTGGAACCGACTCCACGGCACATAACAACAACATCATGGGATGGCTGATACCTGATGTATTGTAAACAGGATAACCCTGTTTAGCTATTGTGTTCTCCAGGATAAAATTCAAAGGAAATTGATGTTTGCAGAGTCTAACTTGATCAAGATTATATGAAATCGCTTCAGCTATATGGAGCATCAGTTTCCTTTATTTTCTAGAAAATGCTTTCATCGAATGACCATTTTCCCTCTGAAAAACAAAAGATGATGATGATAAATAATGCAAAGTTCTTGTAGACAGCTTACATTGCTTTAGTAATTACGTTTGTATACTCTGAAAATATGCGTTGAAGTTCATGCAAAAGTTTGAAAAGGTTAACCAGCTGAAAAGCTTAGAAGTTATGCCTGCTTGTGAAAACCGCAGAGCGTAGTGGGATCATCGCCTCTACATAGGTCTTTATACTGGGGGGTTCATCCTGTGACAGGATACAGACACATCTCCAAAGTGTCGCCAGATCTGGGTGTAGCTGCTGCCTGTCATTTAAATCTCCTCCTCCTAACACCTTCCTTGACCACCTTAGAAAAAGTAGCCTCTTCTGCCTCCCTCCACTCTCTTCCCTGGCTCCTCATGCTCCAATATCCCACGAGCCTTGGGAGATGCCTGACTCTCTCAAGAGACTGTGAGTGCCCTGCGGGAGAACCTTGGGCTGTGTTACTCACTACACCCAGAACAGGGTATGGAGGACTGAACATTTGGGCAAGAAAGCACTCCAAGTACTTTGTCAAACAGTCATTGAAAACTCCATGGAGCACAGTTCTCCTCAGCCACACTTGGGGTCTCCATGTAGCTATAGCAAATGGTTCCTAGCCTGTTGTTATCAGTTGCCATAGAATTGATTGTGATTGACGGCAGCCCCCGGTGTGCAGAGTAGAACTACTCCATAGGGATTTCAAGGTTGTGACTTTTCAGAAGCAGATAGCCAGACCTCTCTTCTGAGGCGCTTCTGAGTGGATTCAGACCACTAACCTTGCAGCTAGTAGTTGAGCATTTCACCATTTGTGCCAGCCACGACTCTCCATGTTGTTCTAAAAGTGCCGTCAAATTGGTTCCAACTCGTAGCGGCTTTGTATTAGGGTTTCCAAGGAGCGACTGGTGGTTTGAACTGTTGACCTTGTGGTTCAAACCAACTTTGCGGTCCAGTGCTTATCCTACAGTGTCACCAGTGCCGTCAAATTGGTTCCAACTCGTAGCGGCTTTGTATAGGGTTTCCAAGGAGCGACTGGTGGTTTGAACTGTTGACCTTGTGGTTCAAACCAACTCTGCGGTCCAGTGTTTATCCTACAGTGTCACACCGGGACTCTCCATATTAAGGTACAAAATATCAGAGTTATTTGCATGCCATGTTAGCTCAAAGGTATGATGATTCTTTGATATAAAGATGAAAACAGATTGCACTATGCTAAGATTCAGTTTCTATATTACAGATTAATCTTAAGAGGGGATGCAAAGTTGACCTGGTATTTACCACAGAGCGCTATGATCCACAGGTAAGCCACCCCAAATAGGGAACTCTATCCCATCAGCAGTAATCCCTATGAATATGGGTTCAAAAAAAAAAAAGTGGAAAGCATTCTACTGACCTGGGTTATATTCCTTGTTGAGATTTGTTTTTAAGAATTAGAGAACAGAGGTAGGCAAGAACTCAGGATTCAATTATTCCAACTCCATGGCTACATTTAAAACAGCCCACATCCCCATTCTCCCCCATTCCTTTGTCCTTGGGAGACAATTTCACAGTTCCTTTTGCTGGCCCTCCCAAGCACCTCAGAGTCCTTAGAGTGACTCACCCTCAAATGCCAACCTGCTTCTCTTTCTGTCAGCTGGTGACATTTCTGATCAGCAGGCCAGCATAGCAAGCGGCATGAGGCCTTCTATGAAACACAGCATGGCATCATGCCAGCGGCAACCACTAGCAGCCTCACTACGATACTGCCCAAGTAGGCCATGTTTCCTTTTTTTCCGTTGTCAAGAAGACAGTAAACAGAAAACTTATACAGTATAAAAATTAGAGCCAGATGAAGTTCCATGTGCTGAGCCAACCTGGGAGGTCGCAGTCAGCACATGGGTGGGGACGAGACCCAACCAAATCCTCTTTTGTTGTGGGTGAGTCAAAGCTTCTGGAATGAACAGGCAGCGTCCAGCATTAAAGTGTCTCATGGTGACAGAGTTTTGGAGGTGAAGCATAAACTCCTGAACCCGATGGTTCTGGAAGAACGCACACTTATTTGTCTCCAGAAACAAGTTCCAACACGGCAGCACGATGCTCTGACTTTGATTATTACCTTAAGAATTTAAACAGTTTCTTAAAGCATTTAGGAAGATATGTCTTTACCCTCTAGTGTTGTAAACGGAAAGTGTAAAATTAAAGCTAAAGGGAAACAATTACTAGATTATTTTGACCTACAATATGTTGTGTCTGGGTTTGATTCTGTGTTAAAGCACAGCTAGCTAATTTCAGTGTTCCATTTCAGAGGGTGAATGAGAGTTATTTCATCTTCAGGCAGTTGCTTTGATTCTGTGGAGCTGTTGTGAGGAACAAAAAGGGGTAATATCTGATTGCTTGTCTCTTCCCCAGAAATGGCTTCAACATCAAAGGAGACTGTAATCAGTCCTGTCTTCTGCCTTTTGATATACCCCTTCCTGAAGGATCCCCATCACTTTTCTTTCTCTGTAGCTGCACTGACATTTAGCATCTTCTTGCACCACTGAGATTCCCTTTCATTCAAAACTAGCACCCACAAGAAGTTGCTTGTTGGAAATCCTATTTCAGTTTTTTTTCATTAGTTCTTAAAATAGACTTATTAAGGAGATCTGATTTTTATTTGTTTCCTTGTGGGCTTTTTTTCTTTTGAAATCTAATTTTGTTTGTTGTTTTATCTGGGACTCCACAAGTTTAAACAACTGAAAAATCTAAAAGAAAGTTACTGTCCCAGCGACTCCACCAACTACATCGTAGAACAGGAATTCTTGACCAGAGGCTCTGGATGGGTGTGAGGGGAGGGTGATCTACGAACCTCCTCACATTCTAGGCCCCATGCTGATGATCTGGGAATATGTGTCTTTTCTGGGGCCCCTGGCTTATATTGTGGGTTAACGAACCTGTAACCTAAAAGGGCAAAAAACGATTATCGTAGATGAATTCTATGTCTGAAGTACAGTTGAAACGTCCAACTCTGTTAAAGGCTATATCTATCCAAACCAAAGTGAGGCTGATCCCAGAATGCCCAGTCTATCTATATTTAAATGTGAATGCCAGCAAATCTACCTCAGTCACTGAGATAGTTGAGTCAGTCTTATTTGGATGATCTGGGCCTCCACCTTTCCAGACTGGATCTTGGTGTAGACAGGAATAGAGTTAATGTAGAGCCTAGGTTCTGGGATCAGAGAGCTTTGAGCTCAAGTCCTGACTTACTAGCTGTGAGACATGGAACAATTTCTTTTAAACTTCAATATCGTAACATGTATAATTGGAGGAAGAGGCTGTAACGCCTAAATTAGTAGTCCACCACTTTTCTGTCGTTTTTTTGTACTGTGATGGCTTGCATGCTGGAAGCTGTGCCACCAGTATTTCATATACCAGCAGGGTCCCCCATGGTGAACAGGTTTCATTGGAGCTGACAGACTGAGACAAACTAAGAAGAACCTGGCAATCTACTCTTAAAACCCTTGGCCAGTAAAAACCTTATGAATAGCAGGGAACGCTGTCTGATAACAGTGTCAAAAGATGTGAGACTCATGTTGGAGGGCACTCAAGTTAAGACTGTGGAAGAGCTGTCGCTTCAGAATCAACCTTAATGACGTGAACAAAGTAAAGCTTTCGGGACCTCATTTGCTGATGTGGCATGAGATAAAATGAGAAGAACTATTTCAAACACTCATTAAAAATTGGTAAATGAAATGAATGTAGAAAAATTGGAGTCATCAAAAAAAAGATGAGATGCACAAATACTGATATCCTCGGCATTGTTGTTGTTAAGTGCCATCAAGTCACACTCAGTGACCCTCTATAAGATTTCCTAGGCTGCAAATCTTTATAGGAGCAGAAAGTCTCATTCATATTTATTCCACAGAATAGTGGACTTGAACCACCAACCATTTGGTTCATAGTCCAGTGCTTCTAATGCTAGGCATTAAAATGGACTTACGTTGGACATTTTGAATCAAACAAACATGGTCTACTATGCCAGGAATGACAAATTGAAGAGGAATAGCATCACATTCATTGTCCAAAAGAACATTTCAGGATCTATCATGAAGTACACTGCTGTCAGTGATAGGTTAATATTCATACTCCTAGAAGGAAGACCAGTTACTATGACTGGTAGTCAACTTAAAATCAGTTAATATGACTGTTACTCAAATACTAACGAGGAAGAAGTTAGCAATTTTTGCCACCTTCTGCTGTCTGAAATTGATTAAACATTCAGTTAAGTAGCATTGATAAGTACTGATGATTGGAATGAAAAGTTGGGAACAAAGAAGAATGATAAGTAGCTGTCAAATATCACCTTGGTGATAGAAACAATGCTGGAGTTTGCATGAAATCTTTGTGCGAGATGAATGACTACATCACTGGAAACACTGTTTTGTAGCAATATAAATTGTAACTGTACGGATGGAGCTCACTGGATGGAATACACAGGAATCAAATCTACTACATCTATGGAAAGAGATGATGGAGGAACTCAATATCATCAGTCAGAACAAAGCCAGAAGTTGACTGAGGAACAGAACATCAATTGCTCATATGTAAGTCGGAACTGACTCCACAGCACTTAACAACAACAAGTTTAAGTGGAAGCTAAAAAGCAAGTCCACATAAGCCAAAATATAACCTTGAGTAGCTCCTACCTGAATTTAGAGACCATCTCAACAATAGATGGGATGCACTAATGACTGAGCACTAATGACCAAAAACCAAACAAGTTGTGGGATAACATCAAGGACATCATACATGAAGAAAGCAATAGGTTACTAAAAAGACAGGAAAGAAAGAACATGTACTGTAGCTAAAGAAAATGAAAGAAATGTAAAATAAAAGAACTGAACAGAAGATTTCAAACAGCAGCAAGAGAAGACAAAAGTATTATAATGAAATGTGCAAATAATTGGAGTTAGAAAACCAAAAGTGAGGGAAACGCTTGGCATTTCTCTAGCTGAAAGAACTGAAGAAAAAAATTCAAGCCTCAAGTTGTAATACTGAATGATTCTATATGGAATCCTGATGTGGTGCTGTAGAATATGCACTGGCCCACTAACTGAAAGGTTAGCAGTTTAAACACACCAGCTGCTCCTCAGAAACACGATACAGAGTTGCTATGAATCAGAACTGATTCGATGGCACTAACAACAACAGCATGGGCAAAATATTGAATAGTGGTGCAGGAAGCATCAAAAAGATGGAAGGAAAACACAGAGTCACTGTACCAACAGGATTGGTTGATACTCAGTTATTTCAGGAGTTAGCATATGATCAAGAACCCACCATATGAAAGGAAGAAGTCCAAGCTGCACTGAAGGCATTGATGAAAAGCAAGTCTACAGAAGTTGATGGGGTATCAATTGATGTTTCCACAAATGAATGCAATGCTCTAAAAACACTATGCCTAGAAATTTGGAAGATAGCTACCTGACCAACCAACTGGAAGTACTCATATTTGTGCCTATTCCAAAATAAGCTGACCCAACAGAATATACGAATTAATGAACAATATCACTAGTATTGCATGCAGGTAAAATTTTGCTGGAGATAATTTAAAAATGGTTGTAGTACTACATCAACATGGAACTACCAGAAACCCAAGCCAGATGCAGGAGAGGATGAGAATTGAGGGATAGCGTTGCTGATGTCAGATGCATTTTGATTGAAAGAAGAGAATACTAGAAATATGTTTGCCATGTTTTACTGACTTTGAGAGGTATTTGACTGTATGGAATCATACAAATTATGGATAAAACTGCAAAGAATGGAAATTCTAGAACAGTTAACTGTGCCCATATGGAACCTGTACACAGACCAAGAGGCAGTTGTATTCAAACAAAACAAGGAAACATTGCATAATTTAAAATCAGGAAAGGTGTGCATCAGGGTTGCAGCCTTTCATATTTATTAAATCCTGTATGTTGAGAAAATAATCTGAGGACCTGGATTATATGAAGAAAAACACAGCATCAAGATTGGAGGAAGATTCATTAACAACCTGTGATTTGCAGTTGAAACATTTGCTTGCTGAAAGCCAAGAAAACTTAAAAAGCAGTTAGTGATGATGAAAAAATTACTTCAGTATATATTACACACCTCAGCATAAAAAAACAAAAATCCTCACAACTGATCCAATATGCAATATCATGCTAAGGGGAGGAAAGATTGAATCTGTCAAAGATCTCATGTTACTTGGATTCACAGCCAATTCCAAGAAATCAAGTGGCATATTGCATTGGGCAAATCTGCTCCTTAGAAGTGAGCATGGTGAGGCTTCGTCTCATGTTATTTGGATATGTCAGCAGGAAGATCAGTCCCCGAAGGACATCATATTTGGTAAAGTGAGAAAGCAGAAGTCTCCATAAGATGAAATGACACCATGCATACAGTAATGGGCTCAACTATAGCCATGGCAGTGAGGATGATGCAGGGCTGTGTAGTACTCGGTTCTGGTGTACCTAGGGCTGCTAGCTATGCGTTGGAATTACATTGACAGCAACTGATAACAACAACTCCTAAGTATCACGAAGATGTTACTTATATGAATTGGAGCAGGCTGCTGCTTTTGATACAAGTTCCCAAGCTTCAGGCCCACAAAGCATTACGTTAGTCCACAGTAACTGAGTGAAGTATCCATTAGCCTAGAGGTTTGAGCCAAGCAGTGCTCAACAGGCATCAGTGAAATTTATATATAAGACACCCGATCTTAACAAGGGTGCCATCACAAGGCAGGAGTTTCAACAGTAGCAGAGAGAAGGACTATTTTATTCAGCTGCGAGCACAAAAATCTCCCTTTCTGCAAAGCAAAAGCCATTGCATCTATCAATTACACGTATGAAGGACTCTTCTAAATCCTGTGTGTATGTGATGGGCGGGGGAAAATGATGACAGCCATCATCCTTGTTTCATTCCAAAATCTTTATTTCAGGAAGGTGAGGAACATTTGGGGAAATGTTCTGCTCAAGTGTTTTTCAAGAACCAGAAACCCAGACCTGCCGTCAATGTAACATGCACACGGCTCATTGAAAAGAATAAAAGACAAGAGGAGGATTACCTGCTTTACAAGCAAATGAAGCAACTTAAAACCCCCCTGGATGTCATCAGCATACCTGGTATGAACCACTATCTGGAATTTCTATATTTAGTAGTGTATGTAGTTACTAAATCCTAAAAAGAATAATCACTTACATTTTGATCCCCAAAGTGGCACTTAATACAGCTATAGGATGTGGTAGAAGGTTGTTCGCTTCGACTTCATGATTTAAACAACACTAAGAAGTATCATTATCATTTTCCTGTTCATCTCCCATACAATAATAGAACCTCCACCAGAAGCCATGTGTGTCCCTTCAGTCTGCCCATTTCATGTTCCTGAACCTCTAAGTAAGAGGTCAAGGCTTGCCATGCTCCGGGTGGAGTCCAGAACCTGAGGTGGCCACTTTGGGAACGTTAGGTGACAAGACAGCCCCCAGAGCCTCCACACTAGGTGAGCTTCCTGTCTGTGGGATACCGCAGTGGAGCAGTGTTTATCTCACTTTAGGTCAGTCGCTAATGGCCAGTGGTCCGCTCCCTAATGAGGACTGCGCCGGCCCTGTGAAGTGACTCAGCTGAAGTGAAGCAGAGCTCATTTCTCTGGCACCAGCAGAGCGTGTGGGCAGCACTGAGTCTCAGCACTTACTGGCAAATCCAATTTCCAAAACCACAGAAATCATCTCTGGACTCACACTCGAGTATTAAGCTAGACATCTGACCACCGCAGAGCTTGTGACCCCACATGCTCTCCCAGGGCACCTGTTTGCCCAGATGCTGGGCCATTCCCATCCATCATGGGGGACGGGCAGTCTCCATTCCTGAGCTCACCCACCCCCATTGATTTATTCACACTCTGATTCCATGTTCTTAAAAACCTGGAAACGGGGACACTGCTTTGGATGACACAATACTTTTCTGACAGCTGAGATCAAATCCTGGTCCAAAACTTATGAGAAGCAATTCAGATTCTTAAATTGTTCTAGAACTTGCTTATATTTAATACTTGCTGATATAAATAGGCTAATGACTAATACTTAAAAATCTGTAGTCATTTAGGGATCTTTCCCCCCTTGGGGAAATAGGGTTGGTCTATTCTCCTTAAAATGGAGTCCTTGTGTGGCACTGTAGGATAAGCACTGGACTGTTAGCTAGCCACAAAGTCAGTGGTTCAAACCTACCAGCTGCTCCTTAGAAACCATATACTAGGTTGCCATGAGTCAGCGCTGACTCAACGGCACTTAACAACCACAACAATTCTCCTTAAAACACATATTTTAGAAATTGTCTAGGACTTTCTCTAGGCATATTTGCTATAGGTCACTTTTTTTTTTTTTTTTTGGTTAAGTTACGGTTTTTATTGTGAAAGTTTACAGGGCACATCATCAGTTTCACATTCAACAATTCATATAACTTTTTTCATTACATTGATTATAATCCCCTCCATATATCATCAGTTAAAAGTATTTCTCTTTATCCACTTTAGCTTTTTTTTAAAAAAAAACACACAAACAAAAAACCCACTCCGGTATATATAATAAATTACATCTCCAAAGGGCACATTCTGCAAGTC